TTCGCCGAGTCCCTCAGTTGAGGCGACTCTTTAAACTTTTCTTTTCCCTTAGAAAACGACTTAGGGTCAATGCCCTGTTGTTTTTCAACATATTCGCCGAGTCCCTCAGTCGATGCGACTCCCTTTGGCTTTGCCTCGGAAACGACTAAGGATCTGGGTCCTTGTTTCCTATCTTTTCTCGCTGAGTCCCTCAGTCGAGGCGACTCCTTAGGCTTTTTATTTTCTTAGAAACGGTTAAGGGTCAGTGCCCCGTTGTTTCATTATATACTCGCCGAGTCCCTCAGTCGAGGCGACTCCTTTTGGCTTTTTCTCGGAAACGACTAAGGGTCTGGGCCCTTGTTTCCTATCTTTTCTCGCCGAGTCCCTCAGTCGAGGCGACTCCTTAGGCTTTTTTTTCTTAGAAACGGTTTAGGGTCAGTGCCCCGTTGTTTCTTTATATACTCGCCGAGTCCCTCAGTCGAGGCGACTCCTTTTGGCTTTTTCTCGGAAACGACTAAGGGTCTGGGCCCTTGTTTCCTATCTTTTCTCGCCGAGTCCCTCAGTCGAGGCGACTCCTTAAGCTTTTTCTTTTCTTAGAAACGGTTTAGGGTCAGTGCCCCGTTGTTTCTTTATATACTCGCCGAGTCCCTCAGTCGAGGCGACTCCTTTTGGCTTTTTCTCGGAAATGACTAAGGGTCTGGGCCCTTGTTTCCTATCTTTTCTCGCCGAGTCCCTCAGTCGAGGCGACTCCTTAGGCTTTTTCTTTTCTTAGAAACTGTTTAGGTTCAGTGCCCCGTTGTTTCTTGATATACTCGCCGAGTCCCTCAGTCGAGACGACTCCTTTTGGCTTTTTCTCGGAAACGACTAAGGGTCTGGGCCCTTGTTTCCTATCTTTTCTCGCCGAGTGGAGGGCAACAATCGAGGGTAAAAGGTGTCCTTTTATTAGATTTCTAAAACTCGAGTACACGCCTAACCTCTTTACTGGTAGAACTTCTTTAAATGGACGACATTCCAAAGTCGATCTATGGGTTTTCCTTCCAGGGTCTCGAGCTTGTAGGTACTGGCATGCACCACTGAAGCAATGCGATAAGGTCCTTCCCACTTAATCGCAAATTTGCCCCCTTCCGTGGGCTGGCTTGCCTGCCGGTCCCGCAATACGAGGTCGACGACCTGGAAGGCTCGTGGGCGAATCCTCGGGTCACGGTACCTTTTTACGGCTTGTTGGTATTCGACCATCCAGGCGCACGCCACCTCCCTCCTTTCCTCCAGGAAGTTATTTTCAATTCTAAGGCTTTCTTCATTCTCTTTGTCGGAATAGCTGCATACCCGGTAGGTGGGCTCCACGACCTCCACTGGGACCTTGGCTTCGAAGCCATATGCTAGGGAAAAGGGGCTTTCTCTAGTCGCCCGTCTTTGCGTAGTTCGGTAGGCCCAGAGGACCCGGTCGAGCTCATCCGCCCAATTTCCCCCGATGTCCTCCAACTTCTTCCGAATCCCGTCTACTATGGTCCGGTTCACATTCTCGACTTGCCCGTTGGCCTGGGGGTATGCGACGGATACCTTGGTGTGTCGTATACTATGCCGGCGACAGAAGTCGGCGAAAGCTTGGTAGTCAAACTGCCTGCCGTTATCGCTAACCACGTGCTCGGGCAGGCCGAAGCGGAAAATCACCTTCTTCCACAGGAAGCGCCGACACTGGTACTCGGTGATGGTGGCTAGTGGTTCGGCCTCGACCCACTTTGTGAAGTAATCGATGGCCACTACACAAAACTTCAAGCTTTCCCGGGCGACTGGTAGTGGTCCTAACAAATCGATTCCCCATTTAGCAAAAGGGATGGCCGTGGTGACCGGCGTGTAGAAGGTGGCCGGCCGACTGTCCTTCCGGGCGAAGGCTTGGCAAATGTTACACCTGGCTATCCATTCCACGCAATCTCTCATCATGGTCGGCCAATAATACCCCTGGACGACTAGCTTTCGGGCGAGCGTGTGGGCCCCCTGATGGGCGGCGCAAATCCCTCGGTGCGCCTCATCCTTTATCCTCTCGGCTTCGGGCCGGAGTAGGCATTTCAAGAGGGGCCCCCCGAACGACCGCTTGTACATCTGTCCGTCAATGATCTGGAATGAAGGGGCTTTTCGTCGAATCCTTGCGGCGACTCCGGGATCCTCTGATAATTCGCCTGTTTCCTTAAACCGCCGGATGTCTTCTATCCAAAACATCTCGGGATTTTTCTCTCGATCCCATTCCTCGACATTTACCTGTCGGACCTCCAATGGTGTTTCCTCTATACTCGGACGACTTAACTCTTCCTTTTGGAAAATCTTGGCGAGGTGATCCAGTATTCCTTCTAAGGCGATTTTCGATAATATGTTGGCCTCGATGTTGTCCACCCGGGAGATATGCTCTATTTCATATGTTCCGAACTCCTTCAGCATTTCTATCGCCTTCTCCTTATACTGGGTCATCCAGACGTTCTTAGTTTCGCAGGTGCCGGAAATCTGTCCCACCACTAACTGGGAATCAGTTTTGATCCGCAATCGTTCTGCTCCCAAGGCCTTGGCGAGTCGAAGGCTGCCCAACACAGCCTCATACTCGGCTTCGTTATTAGACGTCGGGAACAAATAACTCAGGGCGTAGTAGAGTCGGAACCCCTCTGGAGTGACCAGCATGATTCCGCCTCCACAGTGTTGTCGACTCGCCGCTCCGTCCGCGTGCATCTCCCACCACTCACTTGAACGGTCTTCCGTGGTGTGTTCTTTCTCTTCTTCCCCTGCCGTGCATTCAACCAGGAAATTGGCCAAGGCCTGCCCTTTTATGGATGGTCGTGGTTGATACTCGATCCCGTACTGGGTTAATTCCACGGCCCATTTTACCAATCGTCCTGACGACGCTGGGTTTCGCAGTATGCTTCCCAGCGGCTGGTCGGTCAGTACCCGGACGGTATGGGCTTGGAAGTAGGGCGCTAACTTGCGTACGGTGATTACTAGTGCATAGACAATCTTCTCCAAGGCTGTGTACCGTGTCTCGACGGCTTTTAAGGAGCGGCTTACGTAGCAGACCGGGTGCTGGGCACGCTCCTCTTCCCGAACCAGTACCGAGCTCACCGCCTTGGGGGAGGCGGCCAAGTACAAAAACAAAGGCTCACCCTCCCGTGGGGTGGACAACACCGGAGGTGTGGAAAGATACTGCTTTAGTTCCTCGAACGATTGCTGGCACTCGGTCATCCAGGCGAAACCTTCCTTCTTCTTCATCGCCTCGAAGATTGGTATAGTTTTATCCGCCGCCTTACTTAAGAAGCGACTGAGGGCAGCTAGTCGACCAGTCAATCGTTGCAAATCTTTGACGGTGCTGGGAGGCTGCATATCGATGATGGCCTGGACCTTTTCCGGGTTGGGCTGGATGCCTCGTTTAGTCACCATGTATCCTAGGAATTTTCCGCCTTGCACCGCGAAGGCACATTTCTTTGGGTTCAGCCAGAGATTATACCTTAGCATCACTTGGAAGCAATCGGCCAGGTCCCCCGCGTGTTTGGCCTGTTCTTTGCTTTTGACCAACATGTCGTCCACGTAGGCCGCCATGGATTTGCCCAGTAAGTCTTGGAATAGCCGAGCTACCATCCGAGTATAGGTGGCCCCAGCATTCTTGAGTCCGAAGGGCATAACCCGGTAACAATACACCCCGTCTGGTGTAAGGAACGCGGTTTTTTCCTCGTCAACCGGGTGCATGAAAATTTGATGATATCCCCTAAAGGCATCCATAAAGCTCAGTAGGGCCGACCCTGCCGTCTCGTCGACCAGCTGGTCAATCCGTGGCAAGGGGAACGGATCCTTTGGGCAGGCTTTGTTAAGATCAGTGTAATCTACGCACATCCGCCACGCTGGGGGTTTCGGTACGAGGACCACGTTTGCCAACCACTCCGGGTATTTAACCTCTTGGATGTGGCCCGCGGCTAGCAGCGTGCCCACCTCTTTCTTTACGAATTCCCTTCTGTCATTGGCGAGATACCGCTTTTTCTGTACAACTGGCCGATGGTCCGGATCCACGGCGAGTCGGTGGGCGATGATGGACCTGTCGACACCTGCATATCCTCTGGCCCCCAGGCAAAGACCGGCCAATGTTTTCGGAGTACTTGGATAATTTCCTCCCGAGTCTCCTCGGGGAGACCGACACCAACTCTGACCCGCCTGTCCGGCCGTTTAGGGTCGATTTCGATTTCTTCCAATTCCACGGTCGGTTCCGGGCGGGGTATCATTGCTTTCTTTGGGGGATTTTCCGTGATTTCGTGGACTTGCATTCCACGTTTGCCCATCCCCCTACAGGCTTGCAGGTAGCAGTCGCGGGCGACTCTTCTATCGCAACGCACCGTTCCTATCCCGTTCGGCGTGCGAAATTTCAAGCAAAGATGTTCGATGGAGATCAGTGCTCCCAGATCCTCCAGGCCTGGTCGGCTGAGTATAGCATTGTGTGAGCAAACTAAGTCTACCACGATGAACTTCATGCTGAGCTGCTGTACGTCGAGATAGCTACCGACTTCCACTGGCAGGGTGATGGACCCCTCTACTTCCACCGAGTCTCCCGTGAAACCGGCGAGTGGTGTCTTGACTGGATTCAGCTGTTCTCGAGTCAATCCCATCTTCGTGAAAGTCTCAAGGTATAGCACGTTGACACTGCTTCCGGTGTCGACCAGGATCCGTTGAACAACCACTCCGTTTACATCCATTGCTATGACCAGCGCGTCTCGATGCGGTGTCTCTCCTGTGGGCAAATCTTTGTCGGTGAACGTGATCGGTTCTCGGCACACTTTCTTCGAGTTTTCTTCACGCCCGTATACTGTCCCAACGTATAGTTGTCGAGCCCAGGCCTTTCTGGTATTCGCTGAGTCGCCGCCCTCCGGTCCGCCGACTATCATGTTAATAACTGGCTTTTGACGCTACTGGGTCTCGTCCTCCTCAGTGGCCGACCGCTTGCCGCGGCTATTCTCGGCGGCGACCGCGGGATCATCGTCTTCTCGCGCTACTGACCTTCACCTCCACTGATTAGGAGGCGGGGTCCCTTGCTGGATAATTCCTTCCATGACCTTTTTCAAATGGAAGCACTCTTCCGTACTATGGGTGTAAGACTTATGATAGCGGCAGTACTTAGAGTTCTTACTTGTCTCTTCACTTGCCATACGCTCGTCGATAGGCGGGGGCGGAGGTGGAGCGACCGCTTTAACCTCATGCACCGGGTGCTGAGGAGCCGCTCTGTAGGGATGGACCACAGGCTTGTCATAGGGACGTCTAGCCTCGGGTCGCCGAGCCCCTTCCGGGCGCTTTTCCTTAGTTTCCGCGCGGGTCCTCTTTCCGCTGATGGATCCTCCGATTTCGCGTTGTCGCTTATGCTTCATGGCCTGCTCCGTGTTAGCCCTTTTATTGGCCATGTGTATGGCTTCCGCGTAAGTAGTCGGGCGGTTATCCCGCAGATCCCGATACAACTGCCCGGATCGTAAAGATTCGATGAAAAAAGTGAGTACGGTCTGATCTTCGACCTCCTCGATAGACTGAATCTCCTTTTGCCATCGAACCAAGTAGGCTTTCAGGGACTCGCCTTCCTCTTGATGGACGTCTCCCAGGTGAGTCAGATCCTTCTGTGGCTTGATGTTGGCCGCGTAATGTCTCATGAAGCGGTCGGCTAACTCCTCGAAACTGTGAATCGACTTAGGAGGCAGCGCCACTAACCACCTTTGTGCGGAGCCTTTCAGCGTGGGCAAGAAGGCGCGACACATCACCGGGTCTCGCACTCTCAGGACCTGCATTTTGGCCTGATAGCTAAGCAGATGCTCGCGTGGGTCTCCGGATCCGTCGAAGGTGGCTTGTCCCGGAAATTTGAAGTCGCCGGGTATTTTGTAGGACATGATCTCGGAAGAGAATGGCAAAGCGGTGAGCAACGTCTGCCCGGGGGATTTGGTTTTTCCCCCCATTTGTTCTTTCAGATCTCGTACCTCTCGGGCCAATTGGGCCATGTCGCCTTCATTGCGAGTGTGGTTTCCTGTGGATTCCGTACTTTCGCCGACCTCAGATTCGGCCGGTCGGTCATCGTTGCGCGTTACGCGCTCGGTCCGTCGTGTCCGAGTCTTAGTTCTCCTGGTGCGAGCTCTTTCCCGACCGGTTTCCCGATCTCGGGGCCCTGCGGGTGTGCGGCTGGGCTCCCTTTCTCCTAGTCGTTCTCGTGCAGGCTGCCGCCCAGCATTCGGACCCAGCCTCGAATGGACTAATCGTACTGGCTGGCTCTCTGCCCGTCGATTTTCCTGTCCGTCTTCCGGCCTCTGGGACGGTCGTTGATGGCGAGGCATCGGTCGAGAAACTGACTGCTCCCTCATTCCTCGACTTGCGTCGGCGAAGGCTCGCCCGATCGCGTGGAGTTGCTCCGGAGTGAGGGGTATCATGGGTGGCTGCCGGTTTACCGGTGCCGTTTCGTTTTCCTGACTTTGGGCGTTTCGTTGGTTCAACTGATCTCTCAGATCTGCTTCCACTCCATTATCGCGGTTATTCGCTTGGTCTCGTCCTTCTGACATGCTTGTGATGCTTTTCTGGTCGACTTCTAGACTCGCCTTGCTCAAAGAGTTACGCAGCTCTTTGTATCGATCCCCACAGACGGTGCTAGTGTTGGTTTTTGGATTTTCGGGCCCAAGGAGGTCCAACACAACCTTTGGTTGGTGGATTCACCTTTCAAAAAGTGATCGCAAAGATGAGTCGTCGGATAGTTAGAAAGTGTGTGTATGTCTTCTTCTCTGGGTATGGACCCCCCTTTACAAGTGTGGAGGGGGCCTTCATATAGCAGGCTCCCCTCCATCCGAATTGAAGTACATTAATCATTGCTTTCAAGGCTATTTACACTATCAGACCGTTCGGTCGCTGTTACCGAGTCGACCAACGGCTCTTTGACCTCTTAACGGCTCTTTTGACCGAGTCCTCTTGAATGCCGCATTGAGTGTTCCTTCAACGGCTCTTAGACCGCCATGAATGCTTCTTACTAGCCTCTGGGCCGAGTCTCCTTTCACGCTTGGGTCCGGACCGACTCCTGGACTCGGCCCAGGCCCTCGTCGGGCTTCTTCTTTTACTGACCCTTATCTTCTATCTTGGGCTTGTTCTCTCTTTGGGCCCCTCTTCTTGGGCCGGGATCCTCACTCCATCAATCCCAAAATTTTTATTTGTCGTCATAATATTTTTTGATATTCCTTGATTGAAGGCGAAGATAAGCAGTGTCTGAAAATCACAGTTAGTAGTTGCACTGTGCCTATAACAAAATAGGGCTTTCAATTCTAAGTTTCTAACCTGGAAATCTATTTCTAAGCTTTAATTTCTTAATTAGGAAATCGTCTAAATGTTTTTTTTTTTTTTTCATAAACTTCTGGGTTATTAGGAAACCATTAGAAACATTTTCAAATGAGTTTGTGTCTCTGAAACAGGAAAAAAATACCAATTTTTAGTTTCTGTTCATTATAAAATTGTAAAAGTTATAATTTAAATGTCATTAACTAAATAATATATTTTGTTCTGAACAAAAGAAGTGATGTAATTTTCATGGTCAACGTAGACATTGTTTATACATTTTGCATAGTCAGAACTCAGAGTTCTATATGCACAGAGATAGAGAACGAATAGCTACAAGTATAAGACGTGTAATGCTCGCTACGTTTAGTTCACCAGATGTGAGATTATTTAATAGAATTACATTTTAAAAAGTGATATAAGATTATACACAAATTATATTGTCGACTAGAATTTATTATGAGTATTATAAATTCTGATCTAAATAATGTACATCTAATTAGCATATTATATATGTACAATTGTATATTAAATTAATAAATTATATACTTATAAATAAACTGAAGATATAATATGTTAACTCATCAAACATATACATAATTTGTTAATAGAAACAAATACATAATATGTTAACTACATGTGTATACCAAGACTATGTGGTCCAATGGTACCCGGGTTGGACTTCCGTTTGGAAGATTGTGAGTTCGAGCTTCAGTGGAGGCGTTATTAGCTCTTTGTGTTTCAGTAGGTTGAGAAAGTATATGAACAGATACTACATTGTAATAGAGCTAGTAGCATTCAAAAAAAAAAAAAAAACTACATGTGTATAATTTGTACATGTTCCATAATGCACATGGTAAATATTGGTCCACTACAACTTGGTTGGCGTAATTAACTAATATATTATAAATGGAATATATATGGACCCGGAGCAAATCAACCTGAGACGTAATTAACTAATACACTATGATGGATATATTATATATGGACCCGGAGCAAATCAACCTGGTGAAGCGAACTCGACCAACTTTCCCCTTTTTTCCGTGAGGTAGTTAGGAGCAAATTAGTATTTTTTCGTGAGGTAGCTAGGTGCAAATTAGTATAAATGATTACTAATTGTCTCGTTAAGACATAAACCATTCTAATACAACTTTGTCTCCGTAATCAATATTCTTGTCTTTACGTTCATTTTGCTTTTAGTTATTGGGTTATTTGACCCGAGTCAATATAATCCATTACACCACATTAAAGATTGATAATCATGATATTATTATTATTATTAATCAAATGTCTATAGAAGAAACCAAATAGTGTGACAAACAATTAACAGAATGAAATTCTATCTCTTAATACAAAAAAATGAGGTTTATTCAACAACTACATACTAAACTCTAACCTCATCACACACTCACATAGTACTGAATAAGGAATCATATCCCACATGCACCAACCACCAAATACCCTATTACACAAACAAGGCAAGGGCAACAGGGGCCAAGGTGAACAAGAAACCAGCAACCACCGCTGGCGAGGAAGAATCCGGCGAAGATGGAGTGTTCCCGGCCACCCCCGGAGAGGTGGAATGGGAGGGTGAAGGAGCGTCCGCGGTGGGTGAGCACAGTGCAGATGAAGTCGGAGAAGGCGTAGTAGGGGTGGATGGGGTAGGCGCAGTAGGAGGACGATTAGCAGCGTTGCCGGTGACAGTTAGGGCTAGCTTCTGGCCTGCCTGGCAATGCCTGCCGAAGGTGCAAATGTAGTAGTGCTCCCCAGCGGAGTTAAGCGTCACGTTTGCCGGTCCGTTCATGATGGCATTGCCGATAGCGTTGGCAGAGGTGCATCCATCGAACGATGCTTTTGGTACTCGGAGCACGTCGTGTTGGTTTGTCGCAAAATTAAACACTAGCATCAAATAATGAAAATCATATTAATTTATAAAAACTAGAGGAAATTAAAGAACATACACATTCACTATAACCCAAACAAATGAGACAATGCAGCAAAATTAATCAAGCTATTGACTTGCTAGTCACACGATTACAAGTTCAACTCAAGTTAGAACATCCTATTAATTTTCTTATTAGTTTGAGCTGGTTAATTAGTTATGAGCAACTTAGACTGTATTGGTTTACCTTATCCTTTGTTAGCTAAGACTACAAGTAAAAGTTTACTCATCAGTGCACACTCTTAGATAGTGACTGTTAATTAAAAAAAAAAAAAAAAAAGAGATTTATACATACCTAAGATGTCTCCAACGTTGAATGTCTTGCCAGTAACCCAGTTTGAGTATGCGACAGCACCATTTGAAGGAATACTCCAGCCAATGTTATCCCCAACAACATGCGCCGTTTGGGCAGTTCCAGGTTGCAGCATAGTAGTCATAGCTAAAGCCCCAAGAACAGCCATGCACAAAACCCTATTCATCTCCATCTCCACCTGCGTGCAACTTTCCAGATTGTTTTCTCTTTACTTTTAGTTGCTCTAAGCTATGGAGCAAAAGAGATGAATGGAATTGAATGCTTATAGTGGGACTCTGGAATAGAGTTTATATAGTGAAGGAATTCTGGAAATGATGTTAATACACTTGGGGGCTTTAAATGTTGGAGGTCCCATCTGGTGGACGTGTTTGGCTAATAACGCAAAATGGAAATTTCAATGTTGGCTAATTCAAATAAATTTCTGGAAATGTAATATAATGCCATCGTATTTCAAACCTCTTGAATTTCGGTGAAGATCGACATCCTAATATATGGGAGTTTAGGACCACATCATGGAATTAGTAATATATTGAAGAGTCAATTGGACCAAAACAAAAAGGGAAATTAAAGTTGCAACTCGTGCCAATTCAAAATTGTGATACCGTGCAAATATGGGGAAAAGTGAAGGAAGTCTGGGATATATTAGAAAGTTAGCAAAAAATAACATGTAAATTGGTCGTAATTGACCTCGTTCCAGTATTTCTAAGTTACTTTGATCAAAGACAAATTGATAATTGATTTCAAGTACAAAATAAAGCACATTCAGTTGGATACTTGGATGTTAAATAAACTCACGAAATTGATGTTGGGTACAAGAAAACTTGGTACGAACGATAAAAAGCTATTGAGAGCTTTTTTGGCAAGTAGGATTAGTCTTATGATGACCATCCTAGATTTTTGCATTACGTTTGGCTAAGCAATTCAAGCACGATGATTGACCTTCAAGTTACGTAGTCATAAATAGGTGAAAACTTTTGCAAGTGTTACGTAGTCATAAATAGGTGAAAACTTTTGCAAGTTTCAGTGCATTTAAGTCGGCCATTGACAACTTTTGTTACATTAATTTGGAATTGATTTAATGATAAGTTCTCCTGTTTTCAAAAAAAAAAAAAAAAAAAAGTCTGGCATTGACAACTTTTGCTACCACGTACCTTCCTATTATTACCATAAACGAGACAAACTTATATGGTAAGTACATAGAGCATCTACTTTTGGTTGTGGCTATGAATATAATGCAAACAAAGAAAATTTTTCCCTCACTTTGTATTCAATAGTGGACTCTAAGAACGACAATAGTTAGTCCTAGTTTTTTAGATTGCTAGCTACACACCTCTTTGCCAATCAGGAGTCCATTTGCATAATTTCATATAGACATCGAGACATTGACACGACATCCAACAATCTACCAGAGTTGCAGCCGCCACACGTCCAATGTC